TTGGCAATTACTTTGAAATCAGTTGTTCCTGGAAGTGAATGAATGAATTTATTAATTTCAGTCACAGACTAGTTCCAGCTCACATACAATATCATAAAACACGATAGGGATACATTTGAATTTGCAATTGGGTATAACAGGGACAATACAGATATAAAAGGTAAAGGTAAAGGGATTCCTGACCATTAGGTCCAGTTGCGGACGACTCTGGGGTTGTGGCACTCATCTCGCTTTATTGGCCGAGGGAGCCGGCGTACAGCTTCCGGGTCATGTGGCCAGCATGACTAAGCCACTTCTGGTGAACCAGAGCAGCGCACAGAAACGCTGTTTACCTTCCCACCGGAGCAGTACCTATTTATCTACTTGCACTTTGACGTGCTTTTGAACTGCTAGGTTGGCAGGAGCAGGGACCGAGCAACGGGAGCTCACCCCATCGTGGGGATTCGAACTGCCGACCTTCCGATCGGCAAGCCCGAGGCTCAGTGGTTTAACCCACAGCGCCACCTGCTACCTAATACAGATCTAGCAGCAGTTAAAAATATATGTTAAATCTTCATCACTAAAATATAACCTAAAATTGTCATTTAAGGCCTTAGTCACTATGGTAGCACAGCTTGTTCCCTAAATTTTATGGCAGTTGCACAGAATTTGGCCACCCTGAGCGTGACCTCTGGATCCTTGTCCTCTACCAGGGACCTAAGACATTGACGTTTGGACCCATTTGGAGATTTTTGTATAGAAGGATGATAAATGCCGAGTGTATATCCCCGTAGAAACGACAGCATAGCAAGGCATGAGAGACAGTTTCTACCTCCATCAAGCCCTTTCCTGGAAGTAGTGCTGCTGTGCTCCACAAAGCTCTCGCCTTCTCCACATGGCCTGCACTGTGCAAACAGGGTGAGGATTTGTAAAGGGCTCTGCGGGGGGCAGGGAAAGAAAATGGCACAATGAAGGCCTCTTTCCACCATCAGGAAAACCAGCAACACACTGTAACTGCACTGGCTCTTTGTTCAAGTCTAATTTCAGGAGGACAAAGGTTGGAGGTGGCGGGGAACAGCCTGTGGGCACAAGGGAAGGCCTTTCTGGGTACATGCATGCCATATGGATGACCTGTGTCCTAGGGAGATGCTCCAAACTGTAGCCTTCTAGCAGTCATGCACAGAGTCAAGGGGCTCCTGGAGCACTTTTCTTAAATCCTAACCAGGAATGGGAGTTTTCCAGTCCAATGCTATCTGTTCCAAGGTGAGCTGAAGGAAGATAAGTATGGACTTATGGAAGATAAGTAAGCTCAGTGCTTATAATATCTGTTTTATCTGCCCAGAGCCCCAAATTCAATCCCTGGCATGTCCAGGTAAACTTGGGAGATGCTGCCATCTGAAATCCCTGAGAGCCACTACCAGTCATTGTAGACTAGTGTGGAGCTAGATCTGCCTCAGGATGAAGCCGCTTCGTGTGCTCTCATGGACCCTAGAGCTTAGGAGTTCCTGCTTGGTCAATATTTATGCCAGGCGTAGTTTCAGAAACTTCATTTTGCCCTGCTATCACAGGGACCAATGTCACAAAATCCCTGCTTCCTAAGTGCCCCAGGTCTCAGGTAGCAAACTAGTGTTAGTTCCTACTCTGCAGTCACAAAGCAGGAATGCTCTATAAGTGTACATGCTCCTCCATGCCCAAAGAGTAAACTCAGACCCTCCAAATGTTCCTATTTTTCAGGGACATTCCCAGATTTATAGAAGCCGTCCGACCTTCTGATTTGATCCCTTAATGTCCTGCTTTTCCTTAGGACATCCCTATTTTCTCTGAACAAATGTTGGAGGGTATGGAGTTATCTGACCCCCCGAGCCAAGGAGATAAGCTTTACAACCTTTATAAGACACCTGGAGGTAGCCCTGCATAGGGAAGTTTTCTAATTTTAATGTTTTGTTATGTTTTGATATATGTTGGAAGCTGGCCAGAGTAGCTGGGTCAACCCTGTCAGATAAATATTATTATGATTATTATTACTGAATAGGACACCCCTATTTTCAATAGAGAAATGTTGGAGGGTATGTAAACTCCCAAATGGTTATTATAACACAGAGGTGGGGGGATTTTTAATTCTTTAGGGCCACATACCCCCATGGGGGAATGGCAGGTGTCAATAGTGGGTGGAGCCAGAGGGGAAAGTGGGTGGGGCAGCACATGTGACTTGTCCCTCCTTACAGGAGGTTACATTCCAGCCACATAAACATGAGAATTTTCTGCAGCCACATCCTCCAGACAGACTTCACTGAGGCATACAGTTCAAGGACAGTTACATCCTAGTAACAAAGCACTCAAGGATGACACAGATCAGGGTGTGGTCTGGGGGGGGGGAGAGAGAAAAAGTCTGGGCTGAAAGTTTAACACCACCAACCCTGGCAATATTGGCTACAGCTATTAGAAGGGACTCGATCTGCCGCCTAGAAATTTATTGCAACTTCCTCAAATAAACTGGTCCTTTGGCAGATCTCTCCTGCTCAGTTTGAATCAAGCCCACCTCATTTAATTTTGGAAACGGCACTAGAATAACTCAGTCAACCTTTGCAGTGTGAAAGTGAATCACAAACAGAAAAAATTAACAACTGTTACTAAATATATACGTGCAGCAGAACTCCCTCACCCCCCTCCTTCCCCAAGCCAGAAATCTCTTTGCCTCCAATATCACATGGTCACAATCAGCCTTTGCTGATTGTTCTTTCAAACAGGCCTTCACCAGTGTTGGTTTTTGTCACCAGATTCTCCTGTGCAAGTGGTCCAATGTGATCCTTCAGCTAGCATACCTTCCAACATTTCTCTATTGAAAACAGGGATGTCCCATTCAATAATAATAATAATAATAATAATAATAATAATAATATTCATACCCTGTCTTTGGGTGCCTTCCAACACACATTTAACATTAACAATGTAACAATACTTTCCTATATAGGGCTGCCTTCAGATGTCTTCTAAGGGTTGTATAGTCACTTATCTCCCTGGCTCAGGGGGGGTCACATAACTGAGCCATGCTCTCCTACATTTCTCTGATGAAAATAGAGATGCCCTAAGGAAAAGTGGAACATTCTGGGATCAAATAAGAAACTAGGACAGCTTCTGTAAATCCAGGACTGTCCCTGGAAAATAGGGACACCTGGAGGGTCTGAGCTTGGGACGTGGGAGAAATTCAGTTCAGGTTGAATTTTAAGATGAATCTACCTAATCTGCACTTCCTAAAACATTACATGAAGCAAAACACAACCATCCTTAGAAAGTCATGCATCCCAAATTTTACACTGCCATTCTGCAGCCAAGTAATGTGTGTATCAAGAATGCATATACAGAACACATATATTCTGCAATACATATAGAAATGTATATATCAAGGTGAAGGGTCTGTAAAAATGCATCTATTAGTGAAAATAACACCAAAAAAGGCATCAGGGAAAATTGCATATCAAAATGTGCCTATTAGGAGAATTTTGCACTAAGATCCTGATGAATTTTCACGGGGACTTAAAGAAAGAACTGATATGGAAATGGTGAGAACCGAATGTAAGAATGGAAAACATGAGAATCTGAAATTGATATATTCATCCATCTCTACCCACTTCCCCCCACCATCAGCAAAAGCGACAAGAAAGTGACAGAAATATGTACTGGGAAATATGGGATTGCAATAGCTTGATGCAACATCATCTCAGCTCCCCACAAACAAATCAGAATAAATAGCTGACCTTGTCTAACCTCCCCACATACTTTGTGTAAACAAATCAGAATGAACAGTTGATGTGCAGGTCACTGGAAGCAACCTTAGAAACAAATCTGAAGGCTGGATGGAGAACAATATACTTCTAAGTATTCCATTCTCTCTGTCTCTCTAGAATGGTCAGAATTTTAGGCTGGTACCTCTATTCCTTATAATGGGGGGGGGGGGAGGAAAAAGAGCAGCTCTGCTTCCCCAGAGGATGTTCTATGCCTTCCTCTCTTCATACGATCTTGTAAGTTGGAAAACGTTGAGAAAAGGGCAACCGAAATTAGCAAGGAGATGAAGCGACTCCCCTAAGAGGAAAGGCTGCAACATGTGGGGCGCTTTAGTTTAGATAACAGGTCAGTAAGGGGTGACATGATAGCAGTATCTAAAACTACATGAGTTGCTGGAAACCACGGGGGGGGGGGAGTGTTCCTGTGCTTTGGTCCTGCTTGCAGGCTTCCCATTGGGGCATCTGGCTGACCACAGCTGGAACAGGATGCTGAACTAGATGGACCATTGCCCTGATCCAGCAGGCTCTTCTTACATTCCCTGAATTTGCAAACCCAGCCTCTGAAGAATTTATGGCTCCCTTCAGTGAGTCTGCCGGCCTGGCTCTCTCCGTCTGCTCACTTTCTTAATAAATTGCAACCACGATGGCATCCTGCTGCTAAAAATTAACTTCTCTGGTCTCAAGTGTGTTTCTATGTGGGTGTAGAAAGGGAGGGGGGATTTGTGGGGAAGGGGACTAGACATCTTCTGCTTCTAATCATTAATCATGAATTAAAAAGATCCTCAAGTACTGGAATCATGAAGGAATAAGCAGGTTGAGGTGGAGGAGGGGGGAAATAATGCTGACTCAGCACATGAAGCTGCTTTCTATAAAGCCAGACTCCTGTATAGAATCATAGAATTGTAGAGCTGGAAGGGACCCTGAGGATCTGGCAGGGGGTTGGACTCGATGGCCCTTGTGGTCTCTTCCAACTCTATGATTCTATGATTCTATGGTTCTATCATCTAGTCCAGAGCTTTCCAAACTTTTCAAGTTGATGACACCCTTTTTAGACATGCATCCTTTTGTGACACAGTAATTAATTTTATCAGCAAAACAGAGGTTAAACTAACCCCTTTCCAGCCCCGAGAGGAGCATGGGGAATGTTTGCATGACACACCTACACACTAACATGTTGCAACATCCTGTTTGGAAGGCTCTGATCTAGTCCAACCCCCTTGCAATGCAGGAATATGCAGCTGTCCCATGTGGGGATTGAACCAGCAAGCTTGGCGGTATCAGCACCACACTCTAACCAACTGAGCTAAGGCTGACATGGCTACTAGCCATTATGCTGGAGGCAGAATGCCTTTGAATACTGCTCGGGAAAGGTCTGTTGTTCTCTCAGCTTGCTTGTGTGCTTCCCAGAGGCACCTGGCTTTTAAAATATTAAAAGTAGTTTAAAACAAATTGCAGTCACAAGAAGAGGGCAGGTCCTGAAAACATACACCTCCGATATCAAAGGCCAAGGTAAACAGGTGTGTCTTCAGCACACATTGAAGCCAGCATAGCCTACCTTAGAAGGCACTGGCTACTTCATCGTCTAAAGCAGCACCTCCTACTCAGCTCTGCTGCTGGAGAACCTGCCAGGAACTGGCCCCACAGCATCCTGCATGCAAAGTGTGTGCTCAAAGCATTCCTAGCTTACCCCACAGCTCCAGATGGCTCTCCCACTTCCCAGCCTGGAGCACTTCCACGAGGCTGCCACTCGACTGCGAAGTGAAATCAAGAGGAACACCTTGGTGCAAGGTGTGTGAACTACCTGTTAGCTCTGTTGATAAAAGTGTTTGAAAGAATTCAGCAAACCATGTCAAGGTGCCCCTGGGGCTGAGCACTCAATGAATACACAGGAGGCTGCCAGTGACCCATCTACCAGTGTGGCTCATACCAAAGATAGGGGACCCTTTTCCAGTTTGGGGCCACATCCCATTCTGGGCAACCTTGGGCAACCACAGAGGGCCCAGAGGAAGAAAAATGGGAGAAGCAAATAACATGAAATATATCTTTCTACCGTAGAGTAGTTTCTATACCTGCACACCTCTCTCCTCCGTCTGGACAAGCAAAGGGCACTATCAGAGTTCAGTGACACATCCTGGTCTGTGTCAAGCAGGATCAGTGACAGCCGCAGCCTGGGGAGAGTTTTGAGGGTCAGAGAGAGAGATCTGGAGGGCTATGTCTGTTCTGCAGGCCTCAGGTTCCCAATCCCTGGTTGACACTGAGTGGAAGCTGCTCTCTTGATCCCTGAGTACCTGGACAATGACCTTGAAAATAGCTTCAGTGGTCAGAGGGTCATGATTCCGCTTGGCCTTCAAAGGCTATTCCCCAAAACCTAACATGGAAAGTTGTGCTTCCCTTTCCAGTTCCAAGGAGTCAATAAGACATTTGAGCCACATTCAACTGGACTCAGAAGTAGCAGACTGAGCAACGTCCAGCTGGAAAATCTAGCAGAACTCTCTGGGGTCCACACATAGCTCAGCTACCCTGGAAGCTGTGATTTAGCTGTGATTCCCGCATTGCAGGGGGTTGCAGCAGACATGCCTTGAGGCCCCTTCCAACTCTACAATTCTAAGCAACTGAAATGAAATTGGCAGCTCAACTAGGCCCAGAAAAAGAATCTCCGTGTAGACTGAGGAGGAAAGCCTGATATTGAGAGCTGACATGATAAGATGTTCCATAGTGTGGCACCCTTAGAGTCTGGTGCACATGCAAGGGGCTGTAGCTCAGTGGTAGAACACCTGCGTTGCACGCAGAAGGTCCCAGCTTCGATCCCCGATTGCATTTCCAGATGGGGCTGTGAGGGACTCCTGCCAGAAACCCTAGAGGGCCACTGCCACTCGATCAGTGTACAGTATTAAGTGAGATGGACCCAAGGCCTGGCCCAGCCTAAGGCGGCTTCATATGCCCCTATGCTCCTATAAGATCACTTTCCTATGGCTGTTCCTTCAGTGAAGAACAGGTGGGGGATGCAGAGAGCATCACAATTCCTTACATGATGATTGTAACTTTATGCATCGTAAGATGTAACATTTCAAACTAAATGTTCTTCATTGGAAGCAATACACCACTTGATATAACCATTTCTATTAAGACTGTCTTTTTCTTTTATTTCTCTTCTTATTTTGCTTTCCTGTGATCTGTAATTCTTGTTTTCTTTCTATTAATTCTATCCATATTTATGCTTTGCCTTTTGAAGTTCCCTATCTTGGATTACTGAAGATACACACAGGAAGGTGATGGACAGAGGATGAGGGGCAGGGGAGAGAGGATCTGCCAGGGTGGGAGGCTGGGGGGAAGAGGGCGAAGTTCCCAGGTGAGAAGCCCCTGGGACGGTTCACTCTCCTGCGTGTGAAATAAGGCTTAAGATATAATTACAACAGAGGATCTGATGCTTTTCTTCTTCTTCTTCTTCTTCTTCTTCTTCTTCTTCTTCTTCTTCTTCTTCTTCTTCTTCTTCTTCCCTATTTATTTTCTTTAGATTGGTTTGGCTTTTATTGTATTTCATGTTGAAAACTCTTTATAAAAATTGTTTTTTATATATCTATAAATTGTGATAGATAGATAGATGATAGATATCCTTTTAAGCTGCCAGAATATCTCTTTAAAGGGGTGGGGTGTGCTTTTTCAGTCTGAGGCCCATATCTTTTAATAAGAATAATTTGTTTTTTGTACCCCACCCATCTGACTGGGTTGCCCCAGCCACTCCGGGGGGCTTCCTACAGAATATACAAAAACACAACAAAAGGAAACCTAGGCCACATAACTGGTTGGTGTGGCAAAAGTGGGTGGTTTCAGGCAAAGGTATTATCAGAGTTCAATATCACTGGAGGAGGGGAGGAGGGGTGTGGTCTATGTCATGTGACAAAGACACAGCAAAGACAAAGCAGGCTGGGAGGTGCTGGGACTGCACAATCATTTGGGGCTACTAAAGTTATTCAGGCCTGACTGCTAACTGTGGAGTCACTCTGGCATGTGACTTAGCAACCAGTTTCTCTCTGTGTTCTCTGTAAGTTTTCAGTCAGAGTCAGTCTGCCTCAGCTGTGAGCAGAGTCAGTATGGAATCTCAGTCAAACTGTTTGGAACCATGTTGTTTATGAAGAAGTTTATTTTAACTCAGTAAAGCTCTTATTCTTTCACTTAAAAACTCTGCATTATTAATTTACGCTGCGCATCAGTCTACACAGGTCCCAAGAGCATAGCTGTCAAGGTTTTCCCTTTTTTAAGGGAAATTCCCTTATTCCGAATAGGACTCCTTGCAAGAAAAGGGAAAAGTTGATAGCTATGCAAGTGGCAGAAAGAGTGGTCTAGATGTCCACAGGCTGCTCTCTACATAGCTTGGTGACTAAAAAGCTGTGTGCAAGACACAGGCAGGCTGGTATGCAAGCATTTTGAGGGTCCTGCTCCATTTGCTTTTTATCTGTTTGGCTGCTGCAAATTAGAGAAGAGACATCTGAAAGCAAGAAGCAAAATATTCTCCGGATCAATATCTTCGTCTTGAATGTGTCAACAACTCTGGGTAGAAAAGTGTCAAGTTTTCACTTGCAGTTGTAGTGTACTGCGGACTTTGATCTAGCCTCCGGGAGTGTGGAGGGGCATTTTAAATATACCCAGCAGATAATGCTAACTCTTGCATGAGACAGACCTTAGCAGGAACACTCAGGATGGAACAAAATCTGTCAAGTTGACCACATATGTTACACACACATCTTAAGCAAAAAGGGGAGGAAACATAAACTGGAGGTTGCCAATTCAACTGGAAAGAGGCAGGGTGGTGTAGTGGTTGTAGTGCAGGTCCTGGTCATCGGGCTTGCCTAGTGCTGTGCACAGAATGCTGAAGAATGCCTGATGACCAGCTGATTGCTAGAGCTTCTGTGCACAGCGCTATGCAAAAGCAGTCACCTGACACCAGGGAGTTGCCATATGATTGACATGTGGGCCCACCTGTCATACCTGTCTCAACGGGGAATAATAGAATCATAGTTGGAAGGGACCACGAGGGAGATAAGGATCCAGCCCAAGTCTGATCCAGTCCCCCCCCCCCCCCAGAACAGGGTGCAAATTCCAGCCATTAAGTTAAACTATAGAACTTGGACGGCTTTAATAGAGGACTAAACAAATTCACAGTGGCCTTGCCTCCATAGTCAGAAGCAGCAATGCTTCTGAATACCAGCTGCAGGAAACCACAGGACAGGAGAGTTTTTGAGTTCGGATTCTGATTGCTGGCGTCCCAGAGGTGTCTGGGTAGCAACTGCTGTTACAAGATGCTGGACTAGATGTCTATGGGCCTGATCTATCAGGACTCTTATGCTCTTATGGATGTCTCTTTCAACCTTACTTACTTCACAGAATTGTTGTTAAGATGAAATGCAGGAGCAGGAGAAGCATTCATGCCACTTTTGAGTTTCATGGAGGAAAGATAGGATAGAAATGTAACAAATGAAATAAATAAAGACAGGACAAGGGCCAGCCAAAGGGCAACATACATGTCTGCTTGGTTGGGGATGTGAAGTGGGTATAGAAGCAGACTGGGCCAACCTTCCTTCGCTTCCTGCTGCATGGGTTCTCATCCCCCTCCAGACTCCAGCACAGGTGAAAACCACAATTCAGATCAAAGAGACAAGCTGGTGGGGCAGACCATGTGCCACAAAGCTGATACAGTAGATGAATTTCTTGCCTGTAAGTCATCAACAGCATCATGGTATCTTCTGCCATTTCTACAACAGGACGCAGAAACTTCTTTCCCTATCGTGCATGTGCTTTCTCTCTCACTTTCCCAACAGAAAAAGAGGGACGAAGTGGGAGAATGCAAAGTAATGTCAATACCCAGATGGCTATGGGATGCGTCAGCGCTGTCATGAGGTTGACAAACAAGCCAGAGATGACAGTTTGCTAGAAGGCAGAGGCTGCATACGAATGCTCCATCCATGATGCCAGAACACAGTGAAGGAAAAAGAGACTCATGGTATCAGAACTGCTGTGCAGGAATCCCACCAAGGGGACAGAATCGAGCTGAGGCTGTCTTGGTCTGTTGCCTCAACTGTTAAAACTATAATGGAACTTGGTTAGCAATGCTTGCTGCTCAGGGAACAGCTAACACAATAACATTAGAAGAGGCAGCTGGAACCAGGCCAGTGACCCATCTAGTCCAGCATCCTGTTCTCACAATGGCCAACCAGATGCTCCCCTGGGAAACCTGCAAGCAGGACTCAAGTGCAATAGCCCTCTCCCTTCCTGTGGTTTCTAGCAACTGTATTCAGAAGCATTACTGCCTCCGAGAGTGGAAGTAGAGCAAAACGATTGTGGCTGGTAGCCACTGATAGCCCTCTCCTTCATGAGTTGGTCAAATATTTTTTTCAAAGCCATCTAGGCTAGTGGCCACCACTGCCTCCTGTGGGAGCAATTTCTGGACTGCCCAAACCAAGTGTCACATGAGTGACAGAAGAAAATAAAAACCAAAAATCATCTTGTGGCACTTACAGATTGAACAGAATTTATTAGGGCACAAACTTCCATGGGCTATACCTCTCCTTCATCCAATGGAAGGAAATAAGAATATCCTTGCTGGATGAGACCAAGGACAAGAGGATTCTGTTCCAAACACAGAACAGATAGATGACTCTCTGGAAGCCCATAAGCATGACAGAGTAAGAAGAGCCCTGCAACTGGATGAGGCCAAAGGCCCATCTAGTCCAGCATCCCATTCTGAAAGTGGGCAGCCCACAACAAGCAGGACCTGAGTGCAACAGCACCCTCCCCACTTGCCATTCCCAACAACTGGGGTTCAGGGGCATAGTTCCTCTTAAAACAAATGAAAGCTGGGAATCTAGGAATTATGGTTCATCCAGATGGAGGGGGCAATTTCCCCTTTGCCTGTTCTCCCAGTGGATGCCTACGCAGCCTGATGATTAAGCCCCTTTAAGCCCCAGTTTTAGTGCAGTACTTGGTTAGACCCTTGGGCAACCCTGGAGAGCGCTATTCCCATTTTACATATTGCAAGCTGAGTCTGAGAGACAGTGACATGCTTATGGACATTCTACATAGAAACACATCCATGGAGTTTAAGGCAAGGGTTTTGCAGGGGAGGCCTGGAACGGTTGCTCTGCAGGGCTGCAGTTGGGGGTGGTAATCTTTGTGAGCCAAGATTTATTTTCTTTAATCAACCACATAGACAGGGATCTCCTCTGGGCAGCTATCTTATTTCCCTATGAAAAATGGTGCATATGGCTAAAAACATGCACATTTCTCTGATATCCTTCTAATGAAATTGTATTCATCCTGCACTGCAAAAGTCAATTTATCTGATGATGCAGCAGCAGCAAATAATGGGTGGAGCTGACAAACAGGTAGGCTTGGAAAATTAATTTTTCTCTGCTCTCCAAATAAGCATATTACTTTGATGCCAAGTTGCATCAATATTGCAGTCTTTTCTTTTTTTGCTTCTTTCACATTTCACCGGTTCCTTTGGTTTCTGCAGTTACAGCTTGATGGGCAACCAATGAATCAACCGACCTGTTTTCAGCACTAATTGATCATGGTTTGCCATTCCACTTGCTCCTTCCACTCCATTTGCCTGTTTAATACCCACTTCAGGCATGAGAAATATTCCCCGAGTCGCTGAGGCTTGCTGACAAAAGGACCATCAGCTATACATGGCTGAGGCTTTTCAACTTTCCCATTAAACCTCTGTGCAGAACCAAAAAGGTTGCAGACCTGCAAAAGGCTAGAGCACTAAGAGGGATGACGAGAGGCAGAAACAAAAATCCCGCTCCTCTTTTTTCTGGGAATGTCCTCCCCACCCCACCGCCTTGGCTCAATGTAAGTTCTTAGGAATTAAGGGGGTGGAGAGAGGAGGTTGGCAACGAGTGGGCGCCCGCTTTGGTGCATATGGCATGCTCTGGGACCAGTAGATCATTCTTGCATTGATGGCAAAGCCTATTTTTACTGGGGTTTTTTTGCCTTCTGTGCTCAAATCAAGCAGCCTCCCACACCAGGAGGACTGACTGCAGCACAAGCTTCTGGAAAAGAACAGTCACCAAGGTGCACTCTCTCTCTTTAGCCTTCTTGGTGGAGAAGGATGTCACAGCATTCAAAGGGGGAGCTCAGCCTCCACCATGGCAAGACTAATGGAAAGAGTTTGTTTACCCAATCTGTCATGACCCTGGAGTAGAGTGAAGACTCCTTAGAAAGGGAAGAGCATGCAAGGTCGGCCCCAGAAGCACTCTCAGATGAACCTGAGAGGCCAGTGTGCACTCCTTCTGGCCCAAGGATATTGGACTGCCATCCTCTAATACAAAGGTCTGCACTACAGAAGACCTAAGTGCCTCCCTTCTCCATCTCAGTATGAGATTACCGGAGAAGGCTGAGCTCCTTTAAGCAGAGCAGTCTTGCAAGCATGGGTGGGCTTAGCAATTAGGTTGCAGCTGCTGCTGAAGCTGGTCTCAACTTCAGCTTGTTCCCTGCTGTGATACCCCACTGGACAGGCTCAAGCCCCCTTCCCATGGGACAGCTGCAAGCTCCTGTCCTCTTTGATTTGGCTTGGCAGTAGGTGAGGTAGAAATACTCCTGCTGGCCCTTTTGGTTAGCTTGCTAATGTCCAGAGAAGCTAGCAACTGTTGGATCTCAGATAAGGAGACAGCAGTCCCCCTGTAAACTCTGTATGAAGTTTACAGAAGTTGCTCTTATCACTTGCTGGGTCCAGAGTTTTGAAGGGTCTCAACTCTGCCCCCCCCCAAAAAACCTCATAACAATAGAATCATGAAATTGTAGAGTTGGAAGGGATCCCCATGACAAATCGCCATCCAACCTCTGCTTACAAACCTCCAATGAAGGTGAGTCCACAATCTCCCACAGTGGACTGCTCCACTGTGGAACAGCTCTTACCATCAGAAAGTTCTTCCTGATGTTTGGTCAGAATCTCCTTTCTTGTAACTTGAAGCCATTGGTTCAAGTCCTACCCTCCACAGCAGCAGCAAACAAGCTTCTCCATCTTCTATGTGACAATCCTTCAGTTATTTGGAGATGGCTATCGTATCTCCTCTCTGTCTCCTTTTTTCTAGGCTAAACATACCCAACTCCTGCAACCGTTCTTCATAAGGCTTGGTTCCTGGATCATCTTTTGCACACACTCCAGCTTGTCAACATCCTCCTTAAAATGTGCCCAGAACTGGACACAAGACTCCAGGTATGATCTGGCCAAGGCAGAATAAAGCAGTACTATTACTTCCCTTGGCCCGGACACTATACTTCTGTGGATGCAGGCAGAATAACACTGGGAAGGGGGTGGGGCGGTGTTTGCTGCTTCATCACATTGTTGCCTCATGTTAATTTTGCGGTCTACTAAGAACCCTAGATCCTTTTCACATGTATTGCTGTCAAGCCAGGTTCTCCCCATCCAGCTTAGGGTAAGCAAATAAGTGTGAGCTATAGAGAGAGGATTCTGCTTGGGTGTGAGGGAAGGGCAGTTAGGCAGGGTTGTTAGTCCCTAGTACATACATCTATAAATACATGCACACACATATAACCTCCTTGCACACCAGGGTGGTCCAACCTCTCAGACCAAGTGGGCTGAACACTGAATTAAATTTCCATATCATAAATCAAGATAGTTAATATTATTTAATATACACTACTAATATATTAATATTAAATCCTACAGAAGCAGAAAAGGCAACTCACCCTTCCTTCCTTCCTCCCCTTGTTCTTTCCCAGTGTTGAATCTGGGGTCAGAACTACAAATGGTAACATCAGATTGGAATTCCAGATGGTGTGTTCAGGACTTGGAGCAAGTCTCAGTTCATCGATTCCATGTGCTGAGTACGGTATCTGTTCTGACTGCAGCCCTGACTCCATTCCCAACACAACATTAATGCAGAACAAATTGAGACATATCCTCTCAATAATTAATTCTAAGATTGCCCAAGATTTGTGGGCGGAGAGGGGCCAGGGCTCCAACACCAGTCAACAATATAGGAGCAAAACCATTAGCAGTGTATGAAGCTAGGAAGGAACTCAGAACAAGAGAGAGCCATATATTTATAAGTGGAATGAGGAGGGGGCAGGATACATAGCACAGCACAACATTTGCACCCCTACTTAAGCAGGAACCTCATTTAAGTCTCTGGGGCTTGCTTCTGAGTAAATACACAAAACAAGCTCAGGTCTTAAGCACTGTCACCACTTCAGCTAAGAGTCTCCCACCCCACCTGACTTCCAAACACACACATACCCTTTGAGTTCAACTGTAAAGGGGATTCTCCTCAGCCAACCGCCTCCCAGAAAAAGTCAGGAAGATCCTAATAATTCTGGCATCACAGGACACCCCCCGAGCCCACCTCAAAAAGGGACAGCCCTGTTTAACCCTCCCTCAAATTCCGCGAGGGGACTCTATTTATCACAGGCAATCCTCCCCCCCATAAAGTCACTCTGCCCTTCCAGGTCCCCCCCAGTGACACCCTGCATTTCCTCCTCTCTCACCCCATCCCATATCTGCCACCTGCTCGACTTTGGTCTCCTCAGTGGCTGGCTTCTTTTTATGTGTGGGCAGCAGCAGCAGCAACAACCGCATTCCCTCAAGGCCACTGCCACGCTCCTTGGTCACCATGCTGCATGAGGCATGAGTCTGACCTCGCCAGCAAACTCCTCCCAGCAGTCAGCAGAGGGACACGTCAGAGCTAAAGGTGGCAGTTGCCATAAGACATGTGCAAGTGCCGCCTCTTTCTCCTTTCCCTGCCTGGGCACCGGCAGCCGCTAGGAAAGTGTGTCTTCTCTTTAGCAAGGGAAGAAGAGATGGCAGACGGGAGCTGCAGCTGGCTTTTACCTATCATGCATTGCTGCTGAGGGCTGCCAAAAAAAGGTGACCCTTGAGCCACATGTTGGACCACCCTGCTGCTCACAATAAAGTCATACATCAGCACGACCACCAACCTAGAATCCTTCTTCTTAACATGCCATGTTTTCTATATACAGGGAGCATTTTACATGGAGGAGCATTCAGGGCTTATCCACACTTATCTTTTGTCTACATTTTCTAGGCATGTTCTGTGCTTTAAAGCTTCACTTCGAAGCATCCCTTTTTTGCTCCAGGGCTTCCTCCATGAAAACTCACTCTTTACTGCTAAATTGGAGCAAACAGCAATCCATGGAAAACCTGTGCAATTGGTTGAACTTTAGCTTTAAAGACCAGGTTTTTGCAGGGAAAGCTCTTGGTTTGCAAAAAGAAAAAGAAAGAAAAGAGCCCTCTGGCACAGAGCTTTAAAGCTAGCAGACCTTTGCCTGGAAAGCGCTACATGTGGCTAAGCCCACAGACAAGCAAACCCATTTCCTTCTCCAGTGATTCAGCCCAATAGGAGTTGAGTCACATGATTCCCTTAGTTCCTTCCATACAGAACAACCAGTTCTATCAGAACTCCAGTCCTGTGGATCATATTCACCATGAGTGCATTGCAGAGAGCACTCCCATGCAATCCCCCCCCCCCCCCGTTTAATTAAAAGCAGCCGCAGAGGAATGAATAAAGCAATCCCATTAACAAATTCCAAAGCTGGGGCTGTGCAAATAAGGAGACTCTGCAAAGTTAAAATGTAAGCAACATAAGAAAAATGTCAGAAAAAAACCAACAATTTTTCATTTCTGCAGCCGGGTCATTTATTGGAAATGTTAAGTATGGCTTGCAGATGATAACTAAGTTGACTGCCCTTTGCGGCATTCCCTCCTTTGCCCCTTAGTGCCCAGAATTTGCATTTTAGTATAGTTTAAGAAAATCACTCGAACATGACTCTCATTTGACTTCGGAAGAAGAAACGCGAATAGGCACGGCCTCATTTGCTGAAGTCTCCATTGCAATAAAGCTGTGAAGAGGGGCCGTTCTGGAAGGATCATGTGGAGCTAAAGATCAAAGGTGCCAGAGAGGTTGAGTGGCGCCTTTATGACAAAGTTTTAAGACTGTCAACAGGCAACTCTGCCAGATCACTGCCCCACTTGATGAAACATGCCTACTTTAGCACAAGCAAACCCTCCAAACCTCCACTGTTAATATTAGGAAAATGTGAGCTCAGCTCATACAAAGCTGCCTTCAACGGAGTCAGGCTACTGGGTCCATCTTGCCAAGATGGGCTACTCCAGCCTTCACCAACCTGGAGCCTGCAAGTGTGGTGTCATCATTAGAGTGCTGGACCAGAACCTAGAAGACCCGGGTTCCAAGTCTTCACTCAGCCCACAAAGCTCACTGGGTGACCTTGGGGATAAAATGTAGACAAGAAGAAGTTTCATGCGACCTTGAGCTCCTTGTGGGAAAGGTGCAATATAAATGCAATAAGTTATAATAAATAAACAGTTTTTGGATTACAGCTTCCACCACCCTCACTAGCGGTTGTGCTGACTAGAGCTGGTGGGAACTGCAGTCCAAAGCACCTGGTGAGCACCAGGTTGGGGAAGGCTGCTCTTAATACAATAACAGCCCCTGACAGTTTGGCGACACAGAAACTATTTTACAGTCTTTTGCAAATACCTTTGATTCTCTGCGGCAGAACATCCAGCCACAATAGAAGCCAGCCAAGTGCAGAGAGGCAAGCCTAGTAGAAGGAAAAGCTACGTAGGAAAAAAAGGCCTTCTGATGTTATTATTTCTATGATTAACATATATATTGGTATTTGTGTCACAGAGTAGCATAAGAAAGAAGCAGGTTGCTGCCCCGATGAATGTACAACCTAAATTTAGAACATGTTTGTGTGCATCTACAATCAAAAAGGGAGAGAAGGGAGAACCAAGGGTAAGAAGAGATGAATTAATGAAAGTTGATGCAGTTTCATGTATTTAAAAGAACACAAATCATTTTTCTTTTCCAGTTGTAGATTAGGACTAAGGGAGTCTTCGCCAGCCTGGTGCCTTCTAGACATTGTATACTTTTTTATTTGTCCATTTCTATCCCACTTTTCCTCCAAGGAGCTCAAGATGGTGTACGTGGTACTCCCCCCTCCCCGTTTTATTTGCCCTACAGCCCTGCAAGGCAGGCTGGGCTGAAGACAGTGAGCTTTGTGGCTAAGTGGGGATTTGAACCCTGGTTTCCCAGGTCCTAGTTCAACACTATAACCACCGCATCACACAGGATCTCAGTGCTGGCTATGGCAGAAGGGAGCTGTAGTCCAAACCCCCAGAAGGCACCTGGTTGGCGAGGGCTCAACTAAGGGATGAAGCTAAAATCCATGGAAGGATGTGGGATTTGAGGAAGGATGTGAAGGAGAGGAAATATCTGGCCCTTAGAGTTGGTCTTGGAAGGATTTCCAAACAGAAGGATCTAGGAGGGCTATTGGGTGGAAGAGACACCCACTCCCATACCCTCTAACACGCCACCAAGTGAAATCAGGACGTGTGTCTTCTGGGTCCTCGGTCCTGCATGAGTCACGGGACTCATGCAAGAAGAGCATAGCCCCCCCCCATATGTATCTTTAGGGGCCATGCTCTCATCGGAGCCAAGTGACTCATGCGAGAGCATGATCCCCTAAAATGGGCATCTTTGGAGTCCATGCTCTCATGCAAGCCAAACAAGACATCCCAGGAGCTAATCAGAAACCAATATGGCTCCTGTAAATCTGAATGTCCTACTTAAAGTACTATGCAGTCCCATGGCTTTCACCCTGGTAAGCATGCCAAGACCCTTGGCTCATCTAAATCCCAGTTGGGCTTGCTTCAAACATCTGGGCTTGAGGCTTACCTTGCCTTGATCTAGGTCCCACGAAGGTCACTCACACCCCAGTCTGTTGAATGCAGAGGTGCCTGCCAAAAAGGCAAACCTAGGCACTAGCATCTGGCTCCAGGATGAGATGAAAGTTCCACCTGCAGGAAGGAAAGAGGAAGACCTCTCAGTAAGTCCAGAAAACTCTTTGTAGGGCACAAAGTTTGGGGAAAGAAAGGGAGAGATTTGCCCTCCATGCTGCCCCCTGTTCATTTTTTGACTGGATTCTCATGCATGCCCCACACATTTCAGAACCACCATAAATTCTCTCCCCATTAGCTGGCAAAAAAGCCACATGAAAGCCACAAAATAAAGACTTTGCCCCATCGCCAGTTGCAGTCACCACTTATCTATTTTGCTTCTTAACCAAGCCAGGTAAATGAAATGCTCACTTTTCAAAGATGGTGTTGTGCACAAAGGGAGAGGGGCTTTAGCTCACTTCCCTCTGCAGCACATGCAGAAACTGCAGAACCCACTATTAGTCTTGAGAGCTCAATCTGTCAGAGCCTGTCTTTGCATGCAGGGGAAGTCCATAACTCAGCCCATGGGTTGAGACCCACTGGCTCCCCTAACCTGGTTTAGCTGACCGGTGGAAGCCATTCTAAGGGTGTGACCACTGTCACATGCTGACAGCTTCTAGGAGTCCCAGGTGAGAGCTGAGTGGAGGCTGGGGACCAAAAGTGGGCGAACCACCCCAGAAGGAGCACCACGTGTCCCCCACCAGAGGAACTACACTTCCCCCAACACTTCTTAAACCCCAAATAATAACACTAATAATCAATTATTTTCTAAGACAAATATTCTGGCCTTTGAGCCTGCCCGTTCATTGTACTCTTTAATCTGGATGTCATCATGCCGCCTTAAGGGACCAGTTTGCACATTTTACTGATTTTAGGAAGTTTGTTCAAGGTGGTGTCTAATAAGAAAATAAAGTATGAATAAATCATCCAACCTCATTAACAATGTATGAATTAACATGACAGAATGCTACAGCACAAAGATCTATCCACCCAAAGGCGAATGTGTAAATACTAAGTTTAAAGTACGCATTCCAGAAAGAAAGGAAGATGTGGAACACTTGTTTGCAAAGAAAACCTTTAACTTGTGCCTGGAATCTTACATGGTAAGGCTCTTCCAGCATGCCCCCATGCTGGATGCAGCCGCCGGAGCTTGGAGATCCTGTGTGTTCAGATAACATAATTATAAGAG